TTTTTTTTAATTTGGACCATTTCTCAATTTATGCATGTCATCCTTGTGCAGGGGCCATGCTAATCTTCTCTGTATCGTTCCAATTTTAACGGATGTCCCCAAGGACACAACTGTGACGTTTCTGAGTTTGACGAACTCGGCCTTTTCTTGACCAGGGCATCTGACCCTGAGATCAGAATTTGGGGTCTGAATCGTGGAAGGCCTTTCACAGGGCACTATGCTTGATGTAACCCTCTGTATCTAGCCAGCCCAACACCAACTCCGAACAGCTAATATACTGAATGCAGTGTGTCAGTCGCCTGCTCTTTTCTACCTATTCCTGAGGGAACAGGCAGGTACTGTGTAAGCACAGTCTGCGTTGTGCCTTTTCCTGAGGGCACAGAAAGGTACAGTTTAGTCTTGTTGTCGGTCGTGAATGTCACAGATTCAGAGTCTCTGTCTGAGTCATGATGGCTGGGCGACTTCAGGATTGAACCCATGTTGTCCGGAGGAGGTACCCCCTACATTGCTGTCTGAAGTGTATGCTCCTTCTGCGCCTGTACGCAGAGTATGTCCACTTTGCCGCCAAGGATGCTATACTGAATGTGCCTAACCCAGGCCGTGTGCCTGCATAGTACACACATGTAACTGCTGATGAGCAGATCACGAGTTCGAGTCCTGCATGCTATACTGAATGCATGCAGGTGTGTCTGGGTAGTTGCACGCGGTTGTCTCTCATTCGTTGTTGCCGGTGTAGGGCATCCCAGCCCTCTTGTATGACGGTAACATTGACAACATAATTTGAAAGTATCATTATTTTTTTTAATATAACACTATATTACATACGTTGTCCTAGTCCATATCATCCTCTTATCCTTCTTCTTGTTCACACTGAATGCGGACTTTTTTATTATTTTCATCTTTTGCGCTCACTTTTACTGAAAACAGGATGTGAGCGGTACCTGCCTTGTGGGCGAATGATACAGACATCTAGCTGCGGATGAACAGACATATGAGTTCGGCTCATGATGGATATTTGGGGCCATATCTCCCCATTGTTTTTATAGAAACAAAAGAAAGGAATGCATGTACTGCTGTTGGCAGAGATGTATGTGATGTGGGCCCACTCAACCTGGCAAACGCGGGGGGGATATGCATGCCCCTGCTTTTCTTCTTGTTTTTTGTTTTCTTTTTGTTTTGTTTTAATGCATTTGCACGATGTTTGCTCTCCGTGCTTCCTTTCTGCCTATTTACTGCTTTTGCCCCCTGTTCTTGTCTTTTTCTACGTTTTCTGCAGTTGGTGAAACTCTGACGAAACAGTGCCACAGCCCTTTGTTTGTTGTCCTTGTCTCCCTCTCTGTTCACAGGAAGTTCTCTATGATGATATATGGGTCGATAGCCTTGCGACATTATCATCGGACTGGCTGGCCCAGGTAATTCATTCTTCTGTCTAATCTGACTGGATGCAGTCGCCTCAGTCGGGGAGCCCTTTTCAGCATGCAGGGGAACTGCAGGAGCTATATCCTCGTCCACATACTTAAGAGAGTCGAGCCGCACCGGCCCCATGGTGACTATCTGGCTGGTCGGCAGTGCAAGTACAGAGTGTGTCGTAATTTGTTGCAGCTCCCCTTCCTCCCCTCCCCGCATGAACATTGGCAGTGTCTGCTAGTGCTGCTTGGGCGGCCCAATGGGCTGTCTCTAGGTGGTGGCCACGAAGCGTGCTGAGGTAGGGGTACAGTAGGCCAATGAGAATTGAACTCTCAACCTCCTGAATGCCACTTATGTGCCTTGCCAACTGACCTAGGCTTATCACTTGCTACAGCCATCTATTCCAGTCCCTGTGGTTGTTTTATTTTTATTTTTTGGGGTCCCCTGCTGCTCTTTTCAGTTAGTCTTGTGGTCTGTTTTTGTTGCTGTATTCTGCACTAGTTCGATAAGCTACCTTTTCTTCTCTTCCTTCTGCTTTCTGCCTTGCAAATGCACTCTCTTAGTAATCGCGGTTGCTTGTCATCATAGGGTTCAGCCCCTCTGAAGGGGTATTGCGGTGTTGATGGAAAATGCTTGTGCAAAACTTCATCTGTTGTCCTTGGTAACAGATGGATGTCTGCAAGATGTAGTCACAGCTTCTCATCTGAAGCATCCAGCAGTAGTACGTCAGGAGAGGCCGTTCAAGGGGGAGGGAGGTTGGTGCATTCATGCGTTGCCACCAGGTGGCTGGACTGGCCAGTGAGCAGCCCAGCAGCGGGTAGAGTAGTGGTGAGTAGAGGTAGGTGGAGAGGTAGAGTGGAGAATCTGGCACCATAGCACGGTCTGTCACCGGGAATAGGCAGCCTTCTTCTTCCTGGAGGCATGTGCAGTGCATCAGCAGCTGAAGGCTCTGCCTTTCACCAGTCAGTATCTGTCTCACACACACGCATCCCCCCCCTACTCACACGCACACACACACACACACACACACACACACACACACACAGAGAGAGAGAGAGAGAGAGAGAGAGAGAGAGAGAGA